ACTGTAAACACAATAATATTACTGTGGTTTACAGTAATATTACTGTTGTTATAGTAATATTGTTGTCAACCACATCAATATTATTGTTTTGTTTTGATTTCTTTGTTTGTTTAAGTTATTCACGGAGTAACGTTATACTATTACTGTCTATTATTATAATATTATTGTGGTTGACGGTAATATTACTGTTGTTATAGTAATATTACTGTCACTCACAGGAATATTAATTCTTTTGGCTTTTTATTATGTTTACATTTGTTGAACGGTCAACATAGTAATATTACTCTATTACAGAATAATAATGAGTTTTGTTGTGTTAATGTTTTACTGTGCTAGAGATTATACTGTGTTAAACTATAGTTTAGTAAATTTTAATGATTTAACAGTAATATAGTTAATATTACTGTCAATCACATCAATATTGTTGTTTAATAGAAATAAAAAAAATTGAAAAGTCAACGCCGGAATCTGGCGGCAAAAAAAGAATTTTGAAATTTTTTTTTTGTGATAAAAAAAAATGGGTCAAAATTGAATAATTTGTGAAATTTGGGGTCAAATTGATGTTAAATTAAATTAATGATGAAATTGGAGCATATTAAAGTATGATTGGCTATTTTAGTCTTTTACAAAAATCTGGACCATGTGTGGACTTATTTGTAAATAAGTTTTTTTTCTTAATTTCTTTATAAATAAGTACCCATTGATGGACTTATTTGTAATGATCCCTATTATGAAATCGAAACCCCAAATATATGAGTTTCACTATAATTCACCCGCACACTCATCCTAATTAACTTTGTGAAAACGAGACACCACAAAACTATATTGGGGTTGTCTAGAGTTCGAGAGGGTTGTACTTCTCGGACCATAACCAACCAATAAAATTATGCCACGTATGATTAGTACGTACATTATAATAAAAGGTACGAACCCTGTGTTACGGGTAAAATTACATAAAAACCCCTTGTAATTAAACTTGAAAATAATTAGAAAAATCAATAATTCAAAAGTTAATTACAAATTAAATTTTAAAATCATTAAATGAAAATTTTCTAACACGACTTATTATTTCACTAATCATCAATCGTTTAATCATTTAACCTAATATCCCCAATCGGTGTTTTTTCATCATCCTCACCATCATCGATATTTCCTCTTGAAAGAACTATATCGATTGTTCATCTCAAAAATAAAAAAAATCATTAACGATCTTTTCCTCCATTAATCATCATTCAGTCAAGAAACAATGTTTCTTCTCTGTGAAACAAGAAAGTTAAGGACTAAACTTTTGATTTTTGTTTGTTTAGCAATTTTCTCTTGCGCAACTTTGTTGCTACTTATTATTATTCAGAGATCAAGAAAGAAATATGATGTAATCTTGTTCCATATGCCACGTAAGCCCGTAGAGAGGGTAACTTTGAAACCAAAACTGCTCTAATTGATAAGGAACTGGAATATCTCCAATATATGATTAGAAAGCTCCGGAAATCTAACTTTTAAAAAAAAGTGGTTTACAAAAAAAACAACCGATTGGGGAAAATGACAACCAGAAGAAGTTATGATTATTTTTCTAGAGCATGCCAACTGCAATCGGGAAAAATGACATCTTTGTGTCTTTTGGTATTTCTAAATGCTTTACTTGTTTAATTAGTCTATGTTCGAAGTAACAATATTGTTATGAGATGATAAGGTCATGATTTATGTACTGTCAATTTGATATTCACGTTGCATGATTAAGATGTTTAAATTGATATGTGGGAATGAGATAGAGAGAGAGTGCTGACATTTAAGAGATACAAAAATTAGTGTACGGATTTTAGGTTGAATTTTATTTGGTGTTGCCTTAAAGTTGTTCATTATTTCGCGCATGCAGGTGATCGAGTCCAAGAAGAATTTCGTGAAGAATGGTGGTACGGTCTAGTTTGAAAAAGACAAGTGACAGCCAATTGTTGCACTGAAAGAGCCTAGAAAGATCAGCAATCTTCTCTAAGATGTGTTTCATTCATGTCCACCACTTCCATTTTAATTGTTTTGAGTACATGAATTGATGATCTTCCATCATTTTCTTTTATCTATTCTTTCTTTCTTCAAGAGTATTGTCCTAATATCAGATGTAAAAATTAGAGATTCTTGTTTGGTTGATATGAATACTATTTGTAAATAGGTGTATAAGAAGTATTAATATTGGTCCATGGCAAAATGAAGTGTGGCCAACCTCAATCTTAGACAAATTCTGTCTTTTGATACCAAGTAAAAAAATTAAGATTTTTCAGTAAAAAAAAAAAGAAGAAAAGAATCAAATAAGTAAGAACTAGCTCTGTTTCTTGCAACTAAAAAAATCATCAAGGCAAACAAAACTGATACATAATTGATACTCCGATAAGTTTCGTTATGTTGAATCAAAAAGAACAAAACATGAAAACTAAACCTGCGTAATGTATAAGTTCATCAACAATAAGGCATATATTAAAAACAATTCAGGCCAAAAAACATTCAAGAACAATGATCAAACACATCATCCGCCCACGGTTTAATCTCATCGTTAATTAAAAATGGAATAAAAAACAAGTTAAAACTCTGATAAAATGCTACCTACTATTACATAAGTTTTTTTCAATACCCCTAACTATACGGAAACCCAAAAACTTTGCACCCATGGCACATATAATTTTTTTCCCAAAATCCTCCTCGAAATGCAATGTGAATGGAAAACATGATTGCACAAAGGGAGCACCAATATATAATTCCGCAAAATTGGGCCCATTGAACAAATATCACAAACCAGCATAATCTTCAATCCGGGGCGGCTTTGTTACATATACGGAGGAAAAGTAGAATACACGATGTGGGGTTTCCATCGCCATGTGGCGGACTTAGATAGGACAATGATGTTGGACTAGCGTGGTAAGGAGCAGGGCTTGGGAAAGCCGAAGAATTTGGGCTCGGTTGGATTGATGGAACATGAGCTGATGTTTGTTGAGCTCATTGGAGTATCGGCTAGGGTTGGTTCATGGCCATGAGAAAGTGAAAATGTATACATGCATCAGAGTTGTATCGAAAAAGTTTTTATATATACTCGGAAACACGTAATTTGCAGAAATTGTATATTTCTCAAAAAATGGACCAAAAAAGGAATCATTTTTCACAAATTATAAACAAGACATCTATGAGCATTTATATATGTCAGGAAATGTATACATCTGATTGTTCTTAACTGCAAATCACATCATAAAAAATAAGAAAATGCCTAACTACATTCAAGAGACATAGTACATTGATCAAATAATAGAGCAGCCAACAAAACAAAAACAAAAAAAAAAAAAAATACACACAATTAAAAGGAAAATTAGGCAATAATTTTAAAACGAACTATATGAAGATTCAAGTAAAATCCACAAGAATAGCAAAGAAAAGAAACACAAAACACAAATGGTCTTATTTTCATGGATTCAATTTTCTAATTAAGTTTTAAATCCAAATCTGAAAACTAAATGTAAAAAATTGAAAAACAAATTCCAAACTATAACCCATATTTGCCGCTTTTGCGTCTATATCGCTCTCAGATCGATGTCCCATACGGAATTCTCTCATCCGTCGCCGTTCAACCTACCACAACCATCGATTTTCATTCCTCCACCACAATTCGCGATAACAACGCTAAGGGAAAAAATAAAAAAATTCGTAACGCCAGGGGGAGATCTGCCAAAAATTAAAACTCTAATTATCTCGACAGAGTTCGCCATGAGGGGAGATGGAACCCACAAAAAATTCATGTATTGCGTCTCTATCTATGTGTGAAAGAAGATTGGTCATGGAAAAAGTGGATGATCGTTTTTCTTTTTTAAGACTTCGTGCAATTTTCTTAATTGATTATGATTTTTATATTTAATAATATTTTAATTTATTGATTTGAATTTATAAGGTTAATATTGTAATTTATATAAAGTACGATCTGTGTACGATGGTGAACGATGTATTTTTACTAGGTTCGTACATTAATTTTTAAATTTCTAGTGTCGTACTGAGTCGTACATATGTCGTACATAAAATTAATGGCTAAGATTAAAACTTGAATGTTTTGTACTCACCAGATTAAATGTTTTACGGTCTGAGAAGTACAGTGTCGTACATAAAATTAATGGCTAAGATTAAAACTTGAATGTTTTGTACACACCAGATTAAATGTTTTACGGTCCGAGAAGTACAGCCCTCTCGGACCCTAGACAACCCCATCTATATTTTGTATTCAATCATGATATAGTATCTATTAACCACAAATTTTTCGGTCTGTAAAATATAATGAAAAAACGAGACAAGAAAAATGGGAACAAATAATTATTATTAATCAAACAAAAGCGGATTACAATATCCGTGAATTCCCGTAATTCTTCACTCCTATTTTAAAATCGATTCAAGGGCTTAGAAGCTTTTTCTTGAACCGAATAAACATAAACACCTCGAATTTCAAATATGTTATGAATTCGAGGCGGAGGCTCGAGACTTGAGCTTGAGAGCTTAATATGTGTCCATGTGAGTTTGTCTTTTACATGCACCGAAAGCCCTATTTTATTGCCACGAGCTAGGGTTTCTTAACTTGTAGAGTGAGCCGGTCATTTGTAAAGTCCAAATATATTATGTACTTTGAGTGAAACCCAGTTTAATAATCAATTTATTAAGTTATTAATTGTTGATTTATCTCAAAATTTCGATGTTTACAATATCATGATCATTCATTGTGTTGCAAAAAACGACCCAAGAGTTTATTTTTTACAACCAATTGTAAATCATTTTAAAGTGTTCAAAATTAAACCAACATTTTTCTTTTGAGGACAAAAAATAAATAAGAATAACCAACACTTTAAACACCTACAATTCCATGTCAAAACATGATTAATGACCTAATCAAGTGACAGAAAATATATGATCTATCAACTTGAATTGATACATATATCTAAAAGCTAGCTTGATGTTTGATCGAATAATTGATCATATATCCATGATTAAGAGAAATTGGCTGCCGAGTGATAGTATTTGCCGGGGGACCAATTCCCGGGAATCGCATTTGTTGCGATAATTGTACTTCTCGATTCAATAGTAGTTAGCTTTACAGAATAAGGGCCGTTTGTTCCAACGGGTATTCCAACTTTCCAAGTGCAGCCCCAAGATTTTTGCATGTACAATGAACCTTTTGGCTTTGAAGGCAATAGTTCAACCGAACCGATATCACCATCTCCACCCACAAACTCAATCGAAAACGCAAGATAGTTAGCGTTGGAGCCTGTATCGATCTTGAATGTTATACCCGTGTTGTATTTACATGGTACCCTGCAAAATTTGAACACATTAAAACTCGCCTAATAAATAAATGCAATAGCTAAATGGTGATGAGCCATATCAGTCAGCCATAAACTTTGTGTTTGTGGATGGAATCCCCCAAGAAGGGTTAGGATGGCAGTTCCTGCTCCTTGGGAGGTCCCAAATAAATGACTACTTGAATCAGGATTTTGAGCATAAAGATTCCACTGACCTGTAAAAAGTGGAGTACCAACATATTTAAGAAAATTGCAAATTATAATATTAGTAGTCATGTAAGTTTCCTCCATTGGGCTTTAATTTGTCCCATTTAATTTACTTGCATTACATAAGTTTGAACTAAATTAAATTAACATTTTTCGACATATTTTGCAAAAAAAATTCAAGTTTTTTCGTTGGTTATTTAGTTATATAAAAAGTTTAAGAATTATAAATTCATTCTCTAGTATGGTCTAAGACTCTTAATAGAGTACTCTATGGTGAAAATGCTATATTTAAAAAGTTGTTGCGTGTAAATTTGTACCGGAACAAACCGGGAGGACTATATTTCTAACCATACCGAATTACGAATTTCCCTAATGGGGTTGATCGATCAAGATTACCTTTGATATTGGATATTAATTCTTCCAGCATTCCGTAATTTATCAGCTTGGCCGAGCTTCGCCAAATATCCGAAAGCTTTTCCACTCAAGTCAAAATGAAATGCTTCATTGTTGCATGTACCAGGACATTCATCTGTGACAGTTACAACGATTGGGAAACCCGAGCATGCTGGATTTTCGGTGCATTTTACCTGAAATATATTTAAATAAATTAGAATTATATATTAATTATGAAAGATATTTCATCTTTATATCTTGAAAATGAAATAATATTAATTAAAACCTGATAACAATTCCCACAACCCTGTCCATGTTTGAATATATTTTGGTTTCCAGCAGAAATAAGACCATTGTATGGAGGATTTGCCACATCATTTGCAAATCCACAAGCTCCACCTGCAAATTACAATAAAATAAATAAATATATCTTTTATATTTAATTATAAATATATAACAATATTTGCACATGAAAAAAAGATAAATATTAATATTATTATTACCACTTCCAGCTCCATTGGGACTTCCGTACCATGTTGCTACTGCGGGTGAAAAACCACTAACAAAAGAATTGTTCAATGATTGTGAATCCATACAAAAACAATATTTTGTACTTACGACAAATAAAATAGCTAATGTAATTAAATAATTAAACATAATTTATATTGAAAAATGAGTTATGAAAAATAGATAGTTGTGTGTTGGTACCCTTTCTGGAGGGGACAGTTATATATATAGTGATCAAAATTATATTTCTCACCTTATCCAAAATAACCACCAAAAGATTTTCTTACCATAAATGAAAAACATATATACATTTTTATGATTTTTGAAACTAGATTCATCTTGAATATGATCTAATTTGAAAATTATTTTGAATTTCACGAATGAAGATCAAGACTAATTAAAAATTATGGTCGTTGCTCATAATAGCTTAGATTGAATTACTATATATGGATTTATTTACCATGAAATAAAATAATAGAATAATTATCCGATCAGTTATACAAAATGTACCCGGAAAAACGGCTTAATTCCACTTTGCACCCTTGAAATATACCATTTTGGCACTTTGCACCCTCGAAAAATAATAATAGCACTTTGCACCCTCGAAAAATAATAATAGCACTTTGCACCCTCAAAACACAATAAATCATTCACAATGCACCCTCAATTGAATAATAAAGGCAATTTTATTTTTCATTGGTGTTTTTCTTTTTGGGGTACAAAGTAAAAAGAATTGTTGTTTTCTTGAACCTCAAACCTAATTTCGAGCGGACAAAGTGCGAAAAAATAAAAATTACACCGGATTATTTAAAAAAAACTACATTATCTTACAAAAGAAAAATAAAAAAAAATAATCTTTTATCACTGAATTATTCGATTGTGGATCTTTTATGTCACTGTTTGTAAAATATTAGGTGAAAATATTTGGAAGAAACAATAATTTTCAGATAACTTGATAACGTAATAGCTGAATGATTTTTTTCGTAAAATATTTTATTTTGATAAAACAATATAATTTTTAAATATGTTGATGAAATGTATTTTTATATTTGAACTTTATAGTTTCAAAATGATTGATGAATAAAAAAAAAATATTTGACATTTGGCATCCTAAAAAAATATCACTACAAATATTAAATTTATACTTTATAGCTTTAAAAAATCATTTGGGGTGCATTATGCATGATTTATTGTATTTCGAGGGTGCAAAGTGCTATTAATTTATTTCGAGGGTGCAAAGTGCCAAAATGGCATATTTCAAGGGTGCAAAGTGGAATTAAGCCCCGGAAAAACCATAAAATATTTACTAGTGTAATAAGGAAAGAACATTGAATGTTTTTCTGCAAGTCTTTTGGATAAGCCTAAATATCAACTGCAAAAATATTATCCAAAAATTACATGCCATAAATGTATATATTTCTCAAATTTTTGGATGGTTCATGTATATATTTTTCACAGCGACATCCAATTTTAGTTATTTAAGTTGGATTAAAAATCTAACTCAAAGAACTACCAATTCCGTGTTTTGAATTTTGCAAGATTGTGCCTCAAAAATGGTCAAGATCGCTTTTGAAGTCGTAACGGTACTACTAAAACAGAAATGATATTTATCACATTCCATATAAGGAATGTTGTATGGATTTGAAATTTTATGTCGCAGATAATATTTCAAAGGGCGAATGGCAAAAGGGCCCATCACATGGGACTTCAATGCATATTGGTCCACAAAAAAACAGTCGCTCAAATAAATCAATCCCCATGTCTTTAGTCTAAAATACCTCCATAATATAATTCTTATCAATTTCATCCATTATGTTCTAACTTCCTTAATATTACACATTGACCCCGAATTTAAACAAATATATAACATTAACCCCAAAAAAAAAAATTTTTGAAAAAATATTTTTTTTTTCTGAATTTTTTTTCCGACCAGATTTCGGCGTTGATTTTTATTTTTTTTTTCTAAACTTTTTTTTTCTGAAACTTTTTTCCGGCCGGTCAACCACTGTTGACCGCCGGTCTACGGTGTTGACTCTTTTTTTTTCGAATTTTATTTTTCTTAGAAAAAAATATTTTAATTAATATTATTGTCTTGGCTACTAAATTACTGTCTCAAACAGTAATAGTACTGTTTGGGGCAGTAATATTATGAATATTATTTTTCCGAACAGTAATATTATTAATATTACTGTCTAAGACAGTTAAATTACTGTTGTAGACAGTAATTTAGCAGTCAAGGCATTAATATTAATTAAAATAATTTATTTTAAGAAAAAAAAATTTAAAAAAAAAAGTCAATTAACAGTTAAATTACGGTCTTCGACAGTTGAATAACTGCTGGAGACGGTAATTTGACAGCCAAGACAGTAATATTAATTAAAAATATTCTTTTAAGAATAAAAAAGTCAATTAACAGTTAAATTACTGTCTCCGACTGTTAAATAACTGCTGGAGACAGTAATTTAGCAACGAATACAGTAATATTAAAAAAAAAAGTCAATTAACACTTAAGTTACTGTCTCCGACAGTTAAATAACTGCTGGAGACAGTAATTTAGCAGACAAGACAGTAATATTAATTAAAATATTTTTGAAGGGAAAAGAAAAAGAAGTCAATTAACAGTTAAATAACTGTCTCTGACAGTTAAATAACTGTTGGAGACAGTAATTTAGTAGCCACGACAGTAATATTAATTAAAATATTTTTTTAAGAAAAAACAAAATTATAAAAAAAAAAAAAAAAAAAAAAAAAATCAATGCCGGAGACCGGTGGTCAACGGCCGCTGACCGGCATTCTCCGATGGTGGGGGGTCAAAATTGGGGTCAAAATTGAAATTATGGTTAAAATTGGTTAATTGATGAAATTGGGCTAAATTATGGTGTAAATCATGAAATTGGAGTTGAATTGGGTTTCAATGAATTGGGGGTAATTTTGGTATATATAAAAAAAAATTCCTTATTTGCAAATAAGTTTGAATGAGCTAGATTTATTTGATAGATAAAAAAATTGAATGCTCCTCTATTAATTAAGTTACCTTGTTATGGGCCTATTTGCCATTTGCCCTTTTTCAAACCTAGTTTTTAAAATTTGTCAAACAAACTGCATATTATCTTGACCGTTGCTACTCGTAAGACAACAAATTTGAAGTAAAATTTTAGATTTACTATTTAATTATATATGTAACATATATGTATGTATTCAAAAAAAATATTGCCATTATGGGTACATTTTAATCGAAATTATAATCGTAGTTTAAGATAAATGTACTCGAAACCCTTATATAATTTTTTTTAGATTGAAATTTTACAGATATAAAAACTAAATAGTCGAATACGAAGTATATACATATTGCATCACGATATATGAATACAAAGTAAAAGTGCAATCGTGTATTTTTGACAGTTTGAAGTATAAAAACTCGACATAATATTATAATTAATTCCAAAGGTATAATTATTTCAACATTAATTATAATTTAGTTAATTTATAAATATATTTTTATATGTTTTTTAAAATTTATTATTACTATTTTTTTCATCCCCTATTTTCCGGCCTTTTTTTCTCTAATGATTTTCATAACAAATCACATTTGCGTATCGGCTATGAAAATTCTAATCCACTCCGATAGTTTTTTTTTTTTTCCTTTTTTTTTTAACTCTTTTTTTTTTAAGTATTGCAGTTTCTTTGTAAACAATTTATTTTGTGGTTAATATATATTCGAAATGTTAATTATTTCTAACAAATAGCAAATAAATAGAAAAATGTATAAACATTTGTAGAAGCCTGGGTGATATATTTGATTAATTTATGTTTTCTTATTTAGTATATTCTTTTTATCTTTATATATAAAAGTAATTGTGTAATTTTTTTAATGTAATTTCATAACATGTATTTAAACTTTCTTTATATTTGCAATGCTGCCCCGTTGTCTGTGCATTGCACGGGAAAAATTGCTAGTATATAATAAATCATCTTTCAATTTTATATTAATCGTGACTTTGGATAAAAAAATGTTTATCTTGTATTATATATCACATTATAATAATTGTAATGATGTGTTAATGTTTTTGGTAAATGACAAATAGGCTCATGACAAGGCTACTTAATTAAAAAATGGACATCCATCTTTTTTATCTTCCAAATAAATTCAAGTCATTCAAACTTATTTGCAAATAGATATAATTCTTTTATATATACCAAAATTACCCCCAATTTCTTAAAACTTTAATTCAACTACAATTTCATGATTTACAACCCAACTTAGTCAAATTTCACCAATTAACCAATTTTGAGCCTTATTCCAATTTGACCCCAATTTTGACCCGCCACCGCTGGAGACCGCCGGTCTTCGGCGTTGAATTTTTTTTCTAATTTTTTTTTCCGGCAGGTCAACCGCTGTTGACCGCCGGTCTCCGGCGTTGACTTTTTTTTTTCAAACTAGTTTTTTCTTAAAAAATATATTTTAGTTAATATTACTGTCTTCGCTGCTAAATTACTGTCTCCAACAATTATTTAAACCTTTGAGACAGTAATTTTACTGTGTGTATATATATATATATATATATATATATATATATATATATATATATATATATATATATATATATATATATATATGTGAAAATAGTTAAAAGAAGAGGAAAATGAAGACTCTTATATTTATTTGTTTTTATAAATATAGGGGAAGAATTCAGCTACGAATCCTGAAAAAATGTTGTAATCTATATTTATATCTATACTCTATACTACTTATAAAATGATGAACGTAGTTAGTGGTTTCTTCCCTTTTTTATTTGAACAAAAATATCCTTTTAATAGGTAGATTAGAGGCGACTTGGCTCCGACGCGATGATTGTGAGGAAGTGATTAAGCAATCCTGGGTGGAAGGTAATGGCAAGGACCCAATAGAGTCACTCATACGAAAACATGATGAATGTCGAGTGGCATTGATTCAATGGCGGAAAATACATGCAGGACAACCACAACAAATTATAGAAAGCATTAAAAAACGTTCAGAGTCTCTAGCGGGACTGGAACTAACGGCTGCTCGGAGAGCGGAGATGAGGCAGCTAAGGGCTGAACTGGAGAAAAATTACGAGGATAACGATATGTAATGGAGACAACGTAGCCGTGTTCAATGGATTCAAGATGGTGATAGGAATACGCACTTTTTCCACTCCAAAGCATCTACCCGAAATCGAATAAACTGAGTGGATAAACTTAAAGATGCCTCAGGTTGTTGGCAGTACAGCGACACAGAGATAGAAAATATTATTTCCAACTATTTTGAAGACATTTTCAAATCGAAGAATCCGAGCGATGAGGAGATAAATGAGGTGGTGGGGAGTGTGGAAAACAGAATTTTGGGAGCTGCTTGTCAACTTCTTTCCCTACCATTCACTTCGATTGAGGTAACACGAGCCATATCCCAAATGGCTCCTCTTAAATCCCCTAGCATCGATGGGCTTCCGGTTATCTTTTATTCGAAATTTTGGCCTATTCTTGGTGCTGATGTTGTTTCCTGTATTTTCGATTTTCTGAACAATAAAAAGCTTCCTTCCGCTCTTAATTATACTTATATTGTTTTGATCCCTAAGGTGAAACGTCCGGAGAAAATCACGGATTATAGACCTATTAGCCTTTGCAATGTGATATATAAAATGGGGTCAAAAGTCCTAGCTAATCGTCTGAACACAATCCTCGATGATATGATCTCGCCAACTCAATCCGCTTTCGTCCCAAACCGTCTTATTTCTGATAACATTCTGGTGGCTTTTGAGATAAATCATTTCATTAAACTAAATTCTAATTCTAGAACTAATTATATGGCTGTTAAGTTGGACATTAGTAAAGCATATGATCGGGTCGAATGATCTTTCTTGAAGCAAATTCTTTCATGTTTCGGCATTCCTACTGGTTTCATTGACCTAGTTATGTTATGTGTATCTACTGTTTCGTTCTCCTTTTTATTTAATAGTTCGCAATTTGGTCACATGCAGCCCTCAAGAGGTCTTCGACAAGGTGACCCTCTCTCGCCATTTTTGTTCATATGTTGTGCTGAGGCACTCACTACCATGATCACCAAGGCTGTGGACCAGGGAAGCTTCCATGGAGTTCGGGTAGCACCAACAGCCCCGATGGTTACTAGCCTTTCCTTTGCTGATGATACACTTATTTTTGGAAAGGCGACAGAGGAAGCTGCAAGGGTTCTAAAGGATATTTTGCAGAAGTATGCTAGAGTATCAGGGCAAGAGATCAATTTTGAAAAGTCCACGTTGAACTTCAACCCTGCCACATCTATATCGAAGATGAATGCTATTCACCAAATTCTGGGTTTTCGTGTCGTTGACCAGCACGACAAATATTTGGGGATGCCGGCATCTATAGGAAAAAAGAGATTTTTGCGTACCTTCGAGATCGGATCTGGGCAAAAATGGAAGGGTGGGGAGAGAAGCGTTTATCTAAAGCCGGTAAAGAGGTGCAAATCAAGTCGGTCCTCCAGGCGATCCCTTCATATGTGATGGGTTGTTTCTTACTTCCAATTGGCCTTGTGAGGGAACTCGAGGCAGCAATCCGTTGGTTTTGGTGGGGAAACGGAACGACTAAAGGGATGCATTGGCTCGCTTGGAAGGATCTGTGCAAATCCAAAGAGAAAGGAGGGATGGGCTTTCGGGACCTTAGACCATTTAATTTGGCGTTAGTGACCAAGCAAGCGTGGAGAATTCTCTCAAATCCAAATCTCTTGTTCTCAAAGATTATGGCAGCCCGCTATTTTCCTCATGGGAATTTCCGAGATGCGGGTATAGGCTACCGACCTTCGACGACGTGGCGGAGCATTTGGCAGACTCTTCATTTTCTAAAGATGGGCCTTAGGAGACGGATCGAAAATGGGAACGACACTTCTGTTTGGGCAGATCCATGGCTTCGAGATGGAGGGAACTTTTGAATAATTACCAAGAGACTCATATACTCGGCTTTTCCAAATAAAGTGGCAGATCTAATAGACAATTCGACAAATGAGTGGCACTTAGAGACTATACATGCATGTTTTTGGCCGGTGGATGTTGGTCGTATTTTAGAAATTCCGGTGGGCAGCAGCTTGTCCAGAGACACGTGGGCCTGGAATCCCTCGAATAATGGTAAGTTCACGGTGCGCTCTTGTTACCACATGATTCTTGCGTCTACCCAATCCTCAGATAAACGAAGTAGCGGGGGAAACGGTTCAAACAGTGGTGCTGACTTTTGTAAGTGGAATATTATCTGGAATCTTGAGGTACCACCAAAGGTTAAGGTTTCTGTGGAGACCGTGCAGCAATATATTGCCTACGAATAAGAGTCTTTGTGGTAGAAAGGTAATTCTCTCACATTTTTGTGGGCGGTGTCAACGGGATGAAGAAACGGCTTTACACTCAATCATTAATTGCGGTGGAATGGATGACTGTTGGAGGTCTCTTTTACCTGAATATTATCACCATTTCAATCACACCTCTGCATGGAATTGGTCGACGGTTTAAAAGAGAATACGGACACAGATCAGTTTCTCGTTGCAATGATTTTAGCATGGAAGGCGTGGGATAAACGAAACAAGGAATATAAAGGGCAAGCGAGCTTAACCCCTCATGACTTGGTAGACTGGTGCAAAAACTACCTGGCCATATTTCGTTCGGCTCAAATTCACAAGTTTTCTCCACAACGGCATGTGCACATGAGCACGTGGCATCCTCCGCCAGTTGGTGCTGTTAAAATCAATACGGACGCAGCAGTTTCTTCGGGGAATCTTTTCTTTTCCGTCGGGATGGTAGCGAGGAATGATGAGGGTCAATGCATTTGGTGGAGAGTGATTAAGTTACCCGGTAACTTACATCCTGCAGAATGTGAAGCGACGGCAGCGCTCAAGGAGCTACTCTTGGCGCGAGAAAAAGGGTGGACAAATGTGGTGGTTGAGGGTGACAATCTCCAAGTTATCACAGCTTTGCAACATGGCGAAAACGATTTGTCGTCCTTTAGTTTATTGCTAGATGAGTGTTTGCGCCTTTCTCTAGATATAGAATATTGTTCTTTTAATTTCGTCAAGCGTACGGGGAATTTGTTAGCCCATGCTATTGCTCACTTTGATTGCAACTTTCTATCGGAGGGATTAGTTTTACCCTCGATCTTGGGTGGTTAGCGGTAATACTAAACCCTTTTTCAAAAAAAAAAAAAAAAAGATTAGAGGGACAACAAAGTAATATTAATTAATCCTGTTATAAATTCTAAAAGGTGTGGATGAGCACTATGTAATGTATTTTACATACTTGAACATATGGAATAAAATATATTATATTTTCCCCTTTGTTCTCTTCTCCTCGTATGTTATTTCTTAGTTTTATGATAAATCCTTAATTTTATCATTTTTAATTCATTGAACATAACCGTGTGTGTTACAATGTAATGTTGATTAATGAGTAATATTTAATAATTAATAGTTGGAAGACCAATAACCCAAAACTCTTGCTATTCTTCTTGCTTCAGTCTATAAATATCAAAATGTTTAATTGGGGAGTTTGTTAACAGCCCCAAAACCTTGCTCTAGAATTCGAGAGAACATGTGAGTTTGCAAAGACAAACTTAGAAAGAAAATATTTCACTCGAGTTGCTGCGGCAGAGCTCAAAATTAATCTTTTTATTTATCTCTAATTGGCTTTTCTCGTTCTACCCTTCACATTGCAAAATGCTTACATATATATTTAACAATAGAAAATTCTAGACTAGAAGAAGACAAATGGACACATGCTAGATACATTTGAGATAGATACATTTGACTGTTATTACTCCTTGATGTGTTATTCGGAGAGTCTAGTGCATTACCTTCCAACAGAACAAGGTCTTAAGGCCTATGTTTTCGAAGGATTTACCTTGCAATTATATAATCGCATTTATCTAGTCGAATCTTCTTGTATATATTAATGGGAATTTATTTGTTGTTGTGATGCAATTTTTTTTAATAAGCATGGATATATGTAACTTCTAATTATTTGGGGTTTTGCAGGAACTCAAATATTGAGGACTACATACTGTGAAATTGTATACTTGATTGATGTCCAGGATGAGTTTTTTAAAGTAGAAGATCAAGAATAGTAATGCCAAGGTAATAAATAAATTTATTTACTAATATCAAAGTATCCCTTAAGCAAATATACTTGACTATGATATTACTGTCTTTCTGAAAAAGATCTTCACAAAATTATCTTATTATTTATTAAAGGCTGCGGCTATATGCAATACTAATTCCACTTGTGCAAGACCAAATTAAAGAAAGATTCCAAAAGATTCCATAAATTAAATTGGCTTTTGTTTGCTCATGCAAGACCAAATAACAAATAATAAAAAAATATGAAACAACTAAATTTCGACATTAAGGTGTCGAATATATGTCCATAAATTCGACACCTTAATGTCGAAATTTAGTAAATTTTGGACTAATTTGCTAACAGTTAAATTTCGACACTAAGGTGTCGATTTTGTACTCCAAAATCGACATCTCAATGTCGATTTTTACCTATAAAATTCGACATGTACATGTCGAAATATGAAACAACTAAATTTCGACATTAAGGTGTCGAATATATGTCCATAAATTCGACACCTTAATGTCGAAATTTAGTAAATTTTGGACTAATTTGCTAACAGTTAAATTTCGACACTAAGGTGTCGATTTTGTACTCCAAAATCGACATCTCAATGTCGATTTTTACCTATAAAATTCGACATGTACATGTCGAAATATGAAACAACTAAATTTCGACATTAAGGTGTCGAATATATGTCCATAAATTCGACACCTTAATGTCGAAATTTAATATATTTGGACTAATTTACTAACAATTAAATTTTGACACTAAGGTGTCGATTTTGTACTACAAAATCGACATTTCAATGTCGATTTTTGCCTATAAAATTTGACATGTACACGTCGACTGTGTCTGCGCGGGATTGTTTTTGGAAAAACGATATTCTAGCTAAAAAAACACATAAATGCATAATTTCTTGGATTATTCCACCGTAGATTCTTCTATTTTGATGTCTATTGACTCCATACTTGCCATCTTTGTAAGATTTGTTGAGTTTTGATGATTTTGAATGTTTAGGTTTTGTGGGTTTATAGATGAGGAAGGAGAAAGATTTTGATGGAGAAGGTGAGAGTTGGTTTTGTGGTTTTGTGATAGAGTTTTTTTTTTGTTTTTGAGTTTTTGGTATTGCACATTTGAAATTTTCTATTTTTAACAAGTAAGGGTATTATAGTATTTATATATTGAAAAATTTAATTTGGTCTTGCACAAGTGGAATTAGTCTTGCATATAGTCGCAACCTTTATTAAATGTTCTTACATTGATTTGATTTAGAAAAGTCTGTATTTTTTACTTTAATTTTTTTTATTATTTTTTTTTAAGTTTAATGAATTCTTATATATTTTATATGTTATAATTTATGGCATTTTTTTTTATTCAATTAAAAATTAGATTGCATGTCTGCTGTAATTCCATAAGTTAGTAACCGTGAGTGTTCTTATCTGTAGTTTGAACAAAACCAAACTATTAATACTATATTTGTTCTATGCTATTTTTGTTGAACTTCAACGAATTATATCATATTATTCATGTATAGATCCACACACATTTTACATACATTTATATATACATGTATAAATCCACTGTTGAATTGAAGAATTCCATCCACACATTTAACAACTACACTTCAAAATCAAATAGATCATGACAGATAAAAGGAGTAACTTCAATGATAAATAATTTTAGTATTCTTAAAACGTCCTAAGGCTGAATAATCAATGTACATACATAAAATAAAAATGTTGGTCTAATTTAAAACACGTATATATAATCCATATTACCTAAGTGCAAACATGAATTTATCGACAAACAAATTACTCACTTTTGATCTCCAATTAATGAGTATTTTAATATAAAAGAACAAGTAAAAAAATTACTTAACGATTGCGACCTTTCAGACTTAGGCTTTACAGGAGATCCGTTCACATGGTCTAATAGAAGAGAAGCTCCTTACACTATTCGATGCAGACTCGACAGATTCTGTGGCACCGCTCGTTGGCGTAACCTGTTCCCATTAGCTCACGTCCACCACATAGAATTTGGTGGATCAGATCATGTACCGATTCTTTTGACCCTCCAACCTACAACTCCCACCCGACCCGATAGAAGAGGGCGACCTTTCCGATTCGAAGCTATGTGGATCCGGCGGGAGGAATGTGAGAGCATTGTCCAGAATGAATGGTCAGATCTTTTGGCAATGGACCCAATTGAAGATCTGCTCACTAAGACGGAGAATTGCAAGACAGCACTCCTGCAATGGAGTCAGTCTTCCATCGAAAATCCTAGGAATCGCATTTCCAAAGTTCAAAAACGTCTGCATGAACTTGGGCGGGGCCTGCAATCGACTGAAATTATTTCCGAGAGAAGGACTCTTCAAAATGAGCTCGAACAACTTTACCAAGACCTAGACACTTACTGGAAACAGCGAAGCCGAGTCCAATGGATGAAAGAAGGAGATCGTAATACCGGTTTCTTCCATGCAAAAGCCACGATCAGGAAGAGAAATAATTGGGTTCATCGGATCAAGAACGATTTGGGTGAATGGACTGACAACAAAGCCGAGATTGAGCAGGTGATAGCGAATTACTTTTCCTCGATTTTCCAGTCTACCTATCCGACCGAGGGAGTGATTGAGAGTGTGACGCAACATATCGATCGGAGGTTGTCCAATGCGGCTAGCCAATCCCTTTCCCTCCCTTTCACTGCGGACGAGGTAACCCGAGCTATTTCTCAAATGTCCCCCACTAAATCCCCAGGCCCTGATGGCTTTCCTGTGTTGTTCTTTACTAAATATTGGAATTGTCTTGGTTCTAATGTGCTTAACTGCGTCCTTAATTTCCTTAATAATAAAAAGCTGCCCACCAAATTGAATTACACCTTCATTGTTCTGATTCCTAAGGTTAAAAACCCTGAGAAAATCACCGAATATCGTCCGATAAGCTTGTGCAATGTTATATACAAATTTGGGTCGAAAGCTATTGCCAATCGTATTAAACCTTTCCTCCAGAACATCATCTCTCCCACCCAATCAGCTTTTGTGCCCAAACGCCTTATTACGGATAATGTTTTAGTCGCATATGAAGTTAATCATTTTATTAAATCTAATTCTAGAAAGAAAACGAATTTTATGGCTGCGAAATTGGACATTAGTAAAGCGTACGATCGAATCGAATGGCTTTTCTTACGAAAAATTCTTAATCGTTTTGGCTTCCCATCTTCATTGGTCGATCTGATTATGCTATGTGTATCTTCCGTTTTTTACTATTTTCTATTTAATGGTTGCCAATTTGGGTCGTTGCAGCCATCTCGCGGTCTCAGACAAGGGGACCCTCTTTCCCCGTACTTATTTATACTGTGCACGGAAGCTCTTATTGCAATGATCCGTCAGGCCGAGACCGAGAGAGTATTGCACGGAATCGTCATAGCTCCCACGGCACCTAGCGTCTCCTGCCTTAGCTTTGCAGATGACACCTTGGTGTTCTGCAAAGCTAACCTGGCTAATGCTGAAACCCTCAATCGGATACTTCAAGAGTATGCAGCCGCATCAGGCCAGGTTGTTAATATTGAGAAATCAACTATGTGTTTCTGCCCCATGACACCGCCCGACACTAAGAATGCAATCCAGTCGACTTTGGGCTTCCAAATTGTGGAGAGCCACGAAAAATACCTTGGAATGCCTTTGACTATGGGGAAATCAAGGCGAGCTATCTTCGACTTTTTACGGGACCGTGTGTGGACCAAGATTGAAGGGTGGGGAGAAAAGCAACTTTCGAAGGCCGGTAAGGAAGTCCTCATTAAAGCTGTTCTTCAAGCGATTCCATCTTACCTCATGAGTTGTTTTAGTCTCCCTCTTGGACTCCTCCACGATATTGAATCAGCAATACAACGATTTTGGTGGGGTAACGGGAAAGCTCGATCAATGGCCTGGACTTCATGGATTAAGCTTTGCACACCAAAAGAACGCGGAGGCATGGGGTTCAGACACCTCCGCTCATTTAATCTCGCCATGCTTGCCAAACAAGCATGGAGAATTATCTCGTGCCCAGACCTCCTACTCTCCAAGCTTCTTCGCGCGAGGTATTTCCCCGCCGGCAACTTTTGGTCGGCCCCTCCGGGTTTCCGACCGTCAGCAACCTGGAGAAGTCTTCTCCTCGCTCGACCTCATGTCAAGGCTGGATGTCGCGTTCGCATTGGGAACGGGAAGGACACTGCTATTTGGGGTGATCCATGGTTGAAAAATGACGGTAATTTCCACATTCTGACCCGCCGCTCGGCAGTCTCAGCTTTTCCGAATAGGGTTTCCGATCTCATTCTGCCGGATTCCCGCGTGTGGGATTTGGACCTCATCCATGCCTCTTTTTGGCCGGTGGACCATAACAGAATTCTTGCAATCCCGATTGGCAGTAGCTTTGCACAAGACCGCCTCGTGTGGCACTACTCACGCTCCGGCCAATTCACGGTTAAATCATGCTATCACAACATTATGTACAATCATGCTGCATCTAGTGACTCACAAACGAATGGGACCTCGTCGAATAATGGAACTAAGGACCTATGGAAGTATATTTGGCATTTGTCCTTACCACCAAAAATCAAGATTTTTGTTTGGAGGGCTGCATGGGATATTATCCCGACCAAGGGGGCGCTTTTTCGTCGTCATATTACCTCAGACCCGTTCTGCAACTTGTGTGGAACCCGAACAGAGACTACGGTGCATGCCTTGATCGGTTGTAGAGATCTTCCAAAGGTTTGGCAAAGCGAACCATTCAATATTGACACAACAACTGAACCGGTCTCTTTCCTTGGCTGGCTCGTTAAGATGAGGAAGCATCTTTCGAAGAACTTGCTCTGCCTCGCCATGGTAATATGCTGGAAAGCGTGGGACTCGCGTAATAGGGAAGAAAATGGAGATATGGGTCTCCGAGGATGGGAGCTACGGAATTGGAGCGAGGATTATCTCAGCATGTACAGGTCGGCATGCTTAGAGCCAACTATCACCAAGAGCCCTGCTCCACAAGTTCAGTGGACCCCGCCGCCAGAAGGAATAGTGAAAGTTAATTTCGACGCTGCATTCCCACCATCCCAGCCGCACTACAAGGTCGCCACGGTGGCTCGAAATTCCGATGGAGCTACACTCTGGTGGAGCGTCGCAACGTTTCCAGGCCATGTTCAACCAGTCGAGGGAGAAGCTCACGCTGCTCTCTTCGCAATCCAGCTTGCCCATGCAAAAGGTTGGCCGTCAATTATTATCGAAGGGGACTGTCGTCAAATTATTACGGCACTCCAAGGTGAAGACTTTTTGTTATGTCCTTACGGTGCTTATTTAGAAGACATTTGTACTCTAGCTTTATCTTTTTTTTCCTGTCGTTTTTCCTTTGTTCCTCGCTCTTGTAATAAGCTAGCTCATGGTCTTGCTGTATCCATGGATCTCGCCACGACTGAGGGTCTTTCTCTCCCTCCTCATTTGGCTTATCTAGCCTAATACAATTCCTTTCTCTCAAAAAAAAGGTACAAATTGCTCACTTTTGATCTCCAATTAATGAGTATTTTAATATAAAAGAACAAGTAAAATTTTTTTTTTAATGTTATCAGTACAAATATAGAAATAAGTACAAATTGCTCACTCTTGATCTCCAATTAATTAATGAGTAGTTTAATATAAAGAACAAGTAAAAAAATTATTTAATGTTATCAGTACAAATATAGAAATAAGTACAAATTGCTCACTTTTGATCTCCAATTAATGAGTATTTTAATATAAAAGAACAAGTAAAAAAAATTATTTAATTTTATCATTACAAATATAGAAATAAGTATAGTCAGACATGGGTTGGGTTAAACAATTATCGGCCAATTACCTACAAGATGACCTGCCAATTTTGATGAATATTGAAAATCATTACCGGCCAGACCATTATGGGTCGGATAATGCTTGGCAATTGACTTTGTTGGGTGAACAATGGGTCGGTTGGTCGGTATTAGGGGTGGGAACGAGCCGAGCTCGACTCTTTTGGCCAGCTCGAGCTCGAGCTCTAGTCCATGTTGCCGAGCTCGAGCTCGAGCTCGAGCCAAAAAAGATTGGCTCTATGAGCTCGAGCTCATTTAATTTTTTTTAATTTTTTTTATTATTTAATATTTTTATTAACATCATTTAATTTTTTATTAAAAATTATTTATACCTCATCTAGTGACTCAACGAGCTTCAGGCTCGGAGTTATTTTCAAATATTTGGCCTTTAAATCGGCTTTTGACGGATATTACCACGTCTTGACTCAACGAGCTTCAGATTCGGAGTTATATTAACTATTTAGCCTCTAAATCGGCTTTCTTGTCTCAACGAGCTTAGGCTCGAAGTTATATTTAAGCAGCAATTCAACAAGTATATAAGCTTTATATGTATCCATCATATCCTTTAAGAAATGATAGCGTATAAAATACCGAAGTATTTGCTTATCATTCTCATTTGTCTTTTCAACAATAGATTGAGGATCTGGATTTTCGTAAAATAAAATAGAAAGAATAATACGAAAATAGCAAATCCCTATCGAGCAAAATCTCATGCTGATAACGTGTGATAGGATAAACCTTCTATTATAATCATATAACTCATATGAATATTACTGGAATAGAAAATATTAAAATATTTTATAATATGAACTGACGAAAATAAATTTTACTAAAATTAAGAAAACCTTTGAAGATGGCACGAATTAAGAGTATGGAAGTCTGTATATTATTATTCATTCACGATGTGTACATATACAAATTGGAAACACGCTTTGTCATGCTAGCTGTTACAGGGGTTAATTTATCACCGAAATTTTCCCACCGTACGGCCTGATTTGCCCACCAAACCAGTCAGCCTTCCTCACGATTTTCTTCGCACAAAACGCACAACACAAGTCTTTTCAAGCCAACGTAATGCAGCGGAAATCAAACACACAAGCACGTTTACGGGCAATGCCCAACCTTTATATTAATTCCCACAACGAATACAAAGGAGACTAAGGTGCACACACAAAATCCTCACTCAGAATTGCCCAACAATTGCAATATGAACTCTCATATGCTAGATACCTCGGATTTGTGCACTCATAGCCAAATAAATACAAGGAAAAGGTAGTTTTCACATAAAACTACCTAAGGACACATGGCAGCATACAAACATGACACTTGGCCAACTATTACAAGTATAAAGGGGCAGTTTTCATGCATTTCCAGGCCTCAACCGCTCCATAACTTCCTCAAATCCGCCCACAAGGCTGATTTCCGAAGCCCAACTTGTCCGGGTGCGCCCGTGCTCGCCAAACGGCCCAAACAGCCCGGCCGGTTGCTAGGCATCCCATCTGCCTTGCCTTTTCCGCACGTTTGCTTGCCTTTACCGATACTTGCCAGTTCTTTGCCCACACGGTCATCGGCACGCCCGCTCATCGGGCTGCCTTGCTTGACTTGCCAATTTGCCCACACTTGTCAAGTCGTGGTCGATTTCCCTCGAACGTTCGTTTGCCCACGTTATCGGCCGCATGCCGATTATTGCCCACGCTTTGTCCGTCTTTGCTGCCGAGCAACGCCCGTGCCAGCCAAAAGTACTTTCGATCACCGTTCCCACTTGAATCAAGCCGATCCTCGCTTTTCTCGGCCAAGCACCCCAAATGCTTGCCGAACACCCGACCACTCATTGGCCGGTTGTGTGGCTGCCTTGTGCCAATACCCACTTGGCACCATTTATCGGTCATGACTCGGCCACACTCGAGTCATTACCGATATCACCGATTAAGGGGGTAACACTAGCCAATAAGATAAGTAAAAGGAGAAGATGACACATAACAATTAAACCTAGTCCAGAAGCAATGGATATATATTACAATAATTCGGTTGTTTTGTCTTACATAATATATTCTTATATTTTTTCTCCTTATTTAATGTAGGTAGGGGTGGAAATTTGGACCGATTGGGTCCGTATTATTACTTTCGCGAAAATTCCAATTTTTTTCCCGAATTGGAAAATTCCAATTTGGTTCGAAATGAAATTTTAAAATTCAGATATTTGAGTTTTAGAAATTGGAAAAAAAAATTGTTCAAAAAGCGATTTTTTTTTAATTGGAATCAGCGTTATTCAAAGTTCCACTTTTTGCATCACCAATAATACAAAAATAAACAATAATATTTGTATTAAAAACGTTATTTTTGGAAAATATTTGGAATTTTCGGAAATATTTTCAAACATTAAAATTGATTTGAAAAACTGGAATCTAATATGCATTCTGATTCATTTTCAAGAAAAATCGGAATTTGGGATGAAAATTTGAATTTTTGTATCAGAATCGACGGGGTTTGAAATTTCTGTTCCCATTTCTAACCCGAAATGTGTGTGACTATGATTTCTCTTTTTATTGAGTTTAATGTCACCTTTTTTATTTACTGAGTAGCTATTTGAACAGGTATCACTTGGTCACGATGGTGTCCGTGATATTGAAGGGAATGAGCTTTCTCGTTTGGTTTACGTGTCCCGAAAATAAAATACCTAGTTTCGAGCATCATAGGAAAGTCGGGGCCATGAATTCTCTGATTAATCTTACTTTTCAGTATTTTGTATATATACATAGTACATAAATATAAAAAAGTGCGAACTGAAAAAATCAAAAAGACCAAAATAGCCTTAACTATGTGCTTTTTTTTAATTAGGGTTTCACCTGTTCTATGGAATGTTACTTATCTTCTCAATGTGGATTGTGATCACTACATAAACAACAGCAACGCTATGAGAGAAGCTATGTGTCTCATGATAGGCCTTTCTTCGGGGAAAGAAAATATGCTATGTACAG